CCGCTGTCTGGCCACTCAGCGTGCATGGTCAGTGTGCACGATGTCCAGACTGTTGCTTGGCCACTCAGTGTGCATGGTCAGTGTGCATGGTGTCCAGGCCGCTGTCTGGCCACTCAGCATGCATGGTCAGCGTGCATGGTGTCCGGGCCACTGCTTGGCCACTCAGTGTGCATGATGTCCGGGCCATTGCTTGGCCACTCAGCACGCCTGATCAGTGTGCATGGTGTCCAGGCCGCTGTCTGGCCACTCAGCGTGCATGGTCAGTGTGCATGGTGTCCGGGCCGTTGCTTGGCCACTCAGCATGTATGGTCAGCGTGCATGATATCTGGGCCGTTGGTTGGCCACTCAGCGTGCATGGTCAGTGCACTGTGTCCATGCCGCTGCCTGGCCATTCAGTGTGCACGGTGTCCGGGCAGTTTACACTATGTTTTTTGACAACTAATTTTACTTACTGTGGCAAAGCACAAGAAACAAAACTTAGCATCTGAGCTGCTTTGAAGCACACAGCTCACTGACGCGGAGTACCCGCACGTCCCTGCACAACTGCCCTCTACCGTCTCAGAGCTCCGTGACTTCCCCACCTGGGACTGTCCCACGGGGCACGGACTCCCCGCTCCTGCCGCCGTCAGCACTGAGCCAGCCCAGCGGCCCCACAGACGCCCATCTGGCATCTGCTACCTGACTTCCGAGCAGCACGCACTCGGGGCTGCCTCCTGCGCGGATGGACACACGCCCGCTCCCTAGTCCCGGGGCCTCACCGCACCTGTCCTTAAAGCACTAACCTGGCTCCTCCGAGGCCCTGTGGGCGGCGTCAGTCTGGACCACGTCAGTTTTGCTAGAGGGAAGAATTCGGCCACCCCTGCCCGGGCCTTTTGAAACTGCCTGATTTCCACTCAGGTAAAGTAAACTAAGGAGATTAAGAAACATGTGGCTTTCTCCCTTTCGTGAAAGCAAGCAGAGAGCTGGCTGCCTACTGTCAATGCTCCAGTTTCCCGGGAGCTTTATCAGTTAGCAAGAGACCCTTGCTTTGGTGATACAGTAGGAAGAGGTCGCGGGGAGCCTGACCAGCGGGTGGGAGAGGGAAAGACGGATGCTCCCGTGTCAGAAAGGAGTCGCCTCGCAGAGGGACCCAAGACGAGCACGGCCACGAGCTGCCGCCGCCTCGCTGGAGTGTCTGCGGTGACACCCTGAACCGCAGGGCGCCAGTGCCCTGGAGAGCCCCACGAGGCTGTCAGGAAATGAGGCAGAAACACAGGCAGACTCTCTGAGGCTTCCCGACGCTCACTCCCAAGCGCTGCACTGACTGCAGACAGGAGGTGCGGCCGGGGCCAGCGCGGCCCCGATGCCCACCCCCACGCGACGACACCTCTCAAGTGAGCGCGTAAGACTCAAGAGGCCAGTGCAGCTGGGTGGGAAGTGGAATTCTGGAGCCAAACCAGGCCTGAATTCCAGCCTCTCCACTCACTTCCCAGGGTCCTGGCTTTGTTCTCCGGCGCTCGCTGTGCACCATGGAATGGCCACAGCGTGTGCCGCTGAGTCCAGGGGCTGGCGAGGTAAAGGGAACAGAGCGCTCAGCTGGGCGCTGGCACACAGGCCGGGTCGAGCATCGTCTCCTCCTCCCTTCCACACAGCCACGGTGCCTCCCCGGCCTGGGGTCAACCCTCTTCTCTGAACACAAACAGCTCATGTTTGCTTTCAGGAACGGCCGCTCGCGCCGCACCCGCATCCACCTGAGGCCCGGGACAACCACAGGGGCCTGGTGATCAGAACTTCACCTGCCCGAGAGGCGACCAGAGGGAAGCCTCCAGGAGAGGAGAAATGGAGTTCTCCGACGCCGGCCGGGCCTCAGCGCTGCCCCGGACAGCACTTACCACGCTGAGGCCTTCTCGGCTACCGTCTGCCAGCAAACGCAGGCAGGGCAGGCGCCTGTCCCTGCAGCCTGAGTGTCTCCTGGCGGGAAACCAGCTACTCACCGAAACCCGAACATGATCTCGTCGTGGCGGAGGTGAGCGTCGTCGTCAATCGACAGGATGGCCTCTGTCTCGATTTCATTCCAGGGTAAGAACCGATTGTTCAAGCTGTTCTTCTCCGTGCGGACCACCTGCAAGCGGAGGAGCGAACCTGCAGTCAGAGCCCGCGGCCCCAGGCCACCGCTCGCGGCCCCAGCATCCACCTTTCGGGGTAAAATCTGCCTGGCGATTCAGCAAGTGTCCCAGATTTCCCGGCTTAAGCTTTATTCACTTGTCAGCTAATGTTCTTGTGAAACAAACTCAAGCTGCGGATTATTTTACTTGAGTGAAAATCTAGAGAAATTAAAAAGAACTTTCCCGAGAGGACACCAGGGGGCAGAGCAGGGCTGGGCACGATTCCTAGCTGCGGCTTCCCCTCGGCCTGCAGACTTTACATCCAAACTCAGAGAGCCCGTGAGTCCACATGGCTTCAGAGCCCCACCTGTACGCAAGCTGGGAGCCCCTAGCTGCCCTTCCTGCGCGAGTGCCAGCGCAGCACCGTGACCACCTGAGTCCCAGCCCAGAGACCCTGCGCCCAGAGTGGCCCGCACGTGCGAAGCAGCCTCGCCTTCATGAAGACAGGAGCGCCTGCAGAAGAGCTGTGCCTGGCTTCAAGGACTGCTTACGCGCATCGCAGAGGAGCTCAGGGCCTCGCCTGGCCCCAAACTCTAGTAGCAGGGCCCACGCTCAGCACCCTGAGAGCACGTTTCTTTGCAGGCAGCCACAGCCAATTCACCCAACTTGTGAGAAGCCATCTCTGTTCTCAGAGGTCAGGAACTGAATTTCTTGAGGAGCCATCCTTTTAGAAAGCCGGGGGCGGGTGGGGGCTCCCACCTTTTACTCTGAGCAGCTGCTTTACTTGTCCCGAGGTCACTCCCTACCCAACAGGACAAATGAACCCACCAGGGCCTGCAGCCCCAAGACAGCTGAGGACACCCAGGACCTCACGAGTACCTTCTCCTCAGCTTAGAACTCCTTCTGCCATTCTTCCACCGGAGTCGTCTCCCCCCGGAGACCCAGCTCAGACGCTGCCACTCCCCTCGGTGTCAAAACCCAGAGTGCGCAGAGCGCGAGCGATTCCTCCTCGCCCTGACCCCCACTCCATCAACAGCCAGCAGGGCCATCGGCATGGACAACGGTGTGTGGCAGGCCAGGCCCGCCCCCCACCTCTGCCTTACCTAAACACGTTAATGTCATCTTCCAAACGCAGGGAACATGCACTAGTAAGCTGTGTGCCGTCAAGGAAGAAAAACAAGTGTCGGCTTTAGTAAGGCGCTTTGGCGAACTCAGCCGCGGCACGGGGGGTCGCCCCGCACGGGGGAGACGGCTCTGCAGGAGGCCTGCTGTGGAGAGCGGACGAGCCGGGCAGGGTGCCGCCCCGCCCCCCCAACCCCCCCAGGTGTAAGGCCCCACTGGGGCAGGGCGGGGTGGGGGAGACCAGTCCTCCCAGTCGCTGGGAGCCCAAACCAAAGTGTTGGCCCGCCTACAGTGACACACGTCTGTCTCGGGACACACGCAAATTCCAGACTGTTAAAATGCGAGATAATCTCGACCTTAGAATCCGTGGAATCCAAACTCCCCCACAGGCTGTCCTGGGTCGCTCACCTGACTTTCCTACAGAGCTGCAACTGCATAGGAGAGAACTGCGGTTCTGAGGGGTGCGGTGAGCAACGCTTCCCCTCACCTCCAGCAGTGAGAAGACACGCAGCTCTGAGTAAAGAAAGCACGGCTGAGGCCCTCCCTGGTGGCGCAACGGGTTGGGATGCAGCACTGTAAACCAGCCACAGCCGCTTCGGCCCAAGTTCGATCCCCGCCTGCCCCAGAGGTGACCCCCAGGGTGCGGCAGACCTCTCCTTTCTCCCCACTGCTCCCCTCAGCAGTGTACTTTGTCGATCCGCCCGTTCTGCTCCCCGCTCTGTCTCTGGGGAAGCCTCTCACCCACCCCCTGCCCCTCTGGCCTGTACCCAGTTCTGTGTGCACAAATAAACAAGTCTAAAAAAAACACCAAAGTGACCATGACTTGACACCCACTACCCAACCAAACTCCGTCTGGTGCACAGCCTGAGCCAGACCAGAACCTGCCTGTCCTTGGAGACTCGGAGCCGGAGGCCTAACATCAAGTGTGCTTTGGCCTAGGTTTCACCCCCAAGTTTACTGAAGCCCATTAAGAGGAGCATCCGGCCCTCCCTGGGGGCGCAGCGGGTTAAAGCACAGCACTGAGAATCTGAAGCC